ACCCTTTTGTTGAGAGTGCAGACACAAGGTAAACATTGGCGAACCGGAAGTATTTCTATCGTCCCCTCATGGCGGTCAGAACTTGCGCGCACACCCTGTACAAGACGAGACACGCGCATTGCGTCATCGTTATTGGATCTCTGAGAGGCCCCAAGCGACAAACGCGCTAAAGCTTAAAGAGAGTACGTCGAAGAGCGGCAGACGCGTGCGTCTTGGCGTCGCGGCGAGCTAGCGTCGCGTTTGTGAGACGCTCGAGGCTTTGTTATTCGATGAGCAATTCGTCTGCTTCTGGTGCAGGACCCTTTAACGCTGTCTGTTTGGCCCCGTGTGCTCGTAGCGTCAGCTGCGTCTGGACTTAAGGCGAAACGAAGTAGTGCGGCGCTGTTACGCAAGTATATCGAAGCAAAGAGCAAAGTAGCTTCTGACACCACGCACGAACTAGACATTTTACGACCTTATCAAACGAACAATAAGGTAACCATGTATCAGTGGAGGGTATACGGTGTGCAAGTTCGTCTGCTCCTTGCGTACCTCGTGCGCTTATTTACTCATAGCCTTCTCTATACTAACAAAGCCTGGCAGTTCGACCACGGAGCCATAGAGTGCCCGGTCACAGATTCGGAGCGCGACGATCTGGTAGCAAAGAGCATCAAAGAGCCATTTCTCGGGGAACCTGGACATTTCAGCGCACAGCTTTTTCAGCGGCGAGGACCCGAAACACCCTTGTTCTTTCGGGAGAAATGTTTTTCGGCGTCTCGCCGCAGAGTTGGCCAGTAACGGGGTTTTCCTCCCAGCCGTTGTCGGCCGCTCCACCTTTTTTATTTCGGCGGCCGCTTCTCGTAGCGATGTGCCCGGCCTTGTCAGTATATGGAAGGCTATGTTTTATCCCAAAATCCGTTCACAAGTCTTTAGTCCCTCCCCCCCCCACCTACCTTAAACAATGGCGGCACGCGCTTGGTTGCCTCGTCATCGTGCATTCCCGACGTGTTATCCATGTTGCCCTCTGATTGGCATGCTCCTCCTTGCGTTCTGACGGGCCAAAGACGCATGGAGGAACACTTACTGGCCGACGGTCTGTTTGCGAAGAAAATGTGTACACTCTGAAAAAAGCCCGTGCGTCCACTTTCCCGCACAACACTCGGAGAGCCATTCAGTGCGACTTACGGAGGCAGCTCAGCGAATGACGATGCCGAAACATATGCTTAGACCAAAAAACGCAGTCTGAGTTGTGACATTAAGCAATGCAAGCGTGACATTTTGCATTGCTTAATGTCACAACTCAGACTGCGTTTTCAGGTCTAAACATATGTTTCGGCATTGTCATTCGCTGAGCTGCCTCCGTAAGTTGCGGTGATTGGCTCTCCGAGTGTTGTGCGGAAAAGTGAACGCACGGGATTTTTTTAGAGTGTAGTTATAATATTTTGCCGTCTCTAGCTACTCGCGAGCATTTTACGCTTGAGCTTGTGATCAATGTCTGCAGTGACACCAAGTGCCACGAAGCGCTTTGTACCTTTCGGCTTAGTAGATTGAGTGCTTTGAGGAAGCTTTTGTGTAATTTTGCAGTCTTCTCCGCGTTTGGTGACATCAAAAGCATTACAATGTTTTTTTTTTTTTTTTTGTAGCATTATTTGGCTGTTGCTGGCGATTTTTCCACGTTTAGGAATTAGAGGAACGGAGTGGTGGAGTTCAGCCATTGCAGAAGTGTCGGCATGGGCCCAGTGTCTTCATGAGGAGTTGAAAAGAGTGGAATTGTCGGAAACTCTAATTCTAGAGAGTGGAGGTGGAATGGAATATGCATTCTTGAAAGCTGGAAAGTGCACAATCAGCGGCAAGGCCAAATACTTAATACAATGGTATCTCGATGATAGGAGCACCTAAATCTCTCCCCCCCCCCCCCCCCCCCCCCCCCGAAAAAAAAAATCACGCATATTGTGATTCCGTCATTATTTATAGAATTCGTTTCCCAAACGCTTGTCTATAGCCAGTCAGCAACGGCCAGGTGGCGCCAGCAGATGCGGATTTCGCAGTTCTAACTGTCTCTTTGTAGCTTTGCTAAGAGTGAACGATAACCCTACAATGCGTTCCGACGGATTCAATGTGCGCTACATATAGACCTTTGCAAAAAATTGCTTTCTGTGCGCTGCCATCTTTGTCTGCTGGGTTGTGGAACGCCTTCTGAGCATGCGCTGTTCATCTGCTGTGTGGTATATTGGACGCTGGGCATGGGTCCACAGCTCAGTGACTCAGCATTTTTCGTCCGCGTGATAAGCGACGCAAAGGTCTATACGAGCGAAGCATATTAAAGCATGACGCAGCGAAAGGCCGAACACTTCTCAGCATAGAAGCGGGCTCCGGCCATACGTAGTCACGTGCCTCACTCCGTTGTTTCAATAGGCCCGCAGGGGCTGTAGACTCCGTCGTACTGGCATATAATATGCCCACCGCGGATTCCTGGCCTGTCCAGCATGTCTTGCTTCAAACAGTAGGCTAAGCATCGCTACCGAAGGAAATATCTAACGTTTTATCAATGCAGCCACCACTTCCAGGCATACCTAATCATTCTTGCTCCAGTCGCTAGATAGCGCCAAGCAAAACTGCATTGCAGGTTGCCCATAGCGGCAGTTTCAGCGAAGGTACAGATGGTTGCCGAAAGAAGGTTGGGAAAAAAAAGAAGTTTTTTTTTTCTAAGAGACTGTTATCAACGGCGGACATCAGGGAATGCAATACGCTTACAAATTAGCTAATTATTAAAATGTAATTAGTAACTTTAAATGAGTAGATATAACATATGACTCCAATTGCAAACTTCCGAGGTGCCCGCAGTTCTAAAAAGGATAATTGGGGAAAAGACGATTTTATTTGCGCGCCAGAAGTTACAAAATATCGAAATGATTCCTCAGTCGTTGGCTGGGGCACGCCACATGTTTTTCGTTGGTTTGGCGAATAAAACATCTGAATGCTACCAGTAAGAAACTTCCTCAACGCCATCAAAAAGACCTGAATCAATCATTTTTGTGAATACTTAGAGCATGTGTAAAGTGTGGAAGTGCACTAAAGTTCCCACTCATGGAGCAGGCTGAACACCAGGGGGGCCTCCGCATTTTCGTATCGCTAGCCTTATGCCTCTCGCACGAATAAGAGCTGTAGCGGACCCAACGTTCGCACGCGTTTTAAGTCTTCCCAAAAACGAATGATTCAGGGGTTTTTGATGACACTCGGCAAGTTTCTAACTGAAACTCTAAAACATTACCTTGTAAATTTTAAGTAATCAGTTAGATAATTAGCATGTCTTGTAACCCCTGATGTCCGACGTAGCATACAGTGTGTTCTCAAGAAATTGTTTCTTTTACTTTACAACATCTTATTGGCAGAATATATATTTGTTTTAATTCTCCACTGAAACAATTGATACAGCGGGGTATGCAGATTAAGGGGGTCCGTATTAACGAGACAGGACTATCAACTCTACGAAACTCAGTCCCGAGCTTCAGACTCAGCGCCGTCGCGTCTGGTGATAGTAACCTAAAGGCACTCACTCGTAGACTGTTTGGGGAAATCCTGGTTCACCGCCCCTGGGAGTAAGAAAAACATTTTAGGCCTGTATTGACTGAAGAATACGAAGTAGTAACGAATAGAGATGTAAATTGCTTACTGACGCTGTTCCATCGCGGTTATTCTGCTATTGTTTCTACAAGTTACACAATCTCCAGTTGTAGTGACTGAACGTGTGACTTCGTCTTCTCAGTTTATGCCTTCGTCGTAGTCGTCTTTCTCCTCTTCACTCGGTGAATTTTGACGTTTACTTGTGGTTTGCGTTACAGATACATCATGCTTTATTAGATTAAATTGTTTGTTCATGTTTATAGACTTCATGAACTTCTAATGAAATATTTTAATTTGTCATTGATGCGTATTTGGCACGTTCCTTTTTAGCTTGTGACGTTTCGCACTGTTTTTTTTTTTTCTTTTGTTAGCGTATCAACGAAAAGAATTAGTTTTTTTTTCTTTTTCCTTTTACTGCAATAACAAACCAAGCATCGCTGAATGCTTTGTCTGCGACGAAATTTAGCAGTAGTGGTACGGACCAGATTCTAAACTTTCAGAACAAACCGTTATCCCTGTTCAAAAGTTATAAGTTATATTCTTAAACGTTTAATGAAAAAGTGAGGCCCGTTCCCGCTAGTTTGCGCCATGCAGCCCCATGTATTATTGGGCTTCGTCGGGCCAGGCTTTTTCTATAAGATATTTCCGAAAAGTGACACTAACTGTATTCACAATTTAACAATTCATTCTGAAAATTTAACATGTAGTCCGGACTGCTAGCGTCATATTTGGGAGCAGAATCAGCGTTCGATGAAGGTAGTTTATTTTCGCGCTTAAAAGAACACCGCCATTTCAATTTCGGGGACACCCTGTGGGCATCTGTGACATGCTTCGAGTTCAGAGTGGCAATTGAGCACTATTGCCATAGTTATTATAGGGAGTATTCACTGGCGGCCATACCCGTGTGCGCTGCTGCTAAGCGCGTGCTGACGGCGAGCTTTCGCAGTCCTTCTGGAGCGTGCATTTAGCACCATCAAGGTTGCCGGTCTTAGCAGGCTATTAAAGTGAGCTCGTTCTAAGCATGCGCTCTAAACATCGCCCTCAAATATGGCGTCCTGTGAATGCCTCCTATATTCTTGTTTGCTTTCATGACAAGTACCCATAATCGCATAGCCCTCACCGCGTTGTCAGGTTAGTTTACAACCTAACGTCTTGCGAGAGGAATCCCCGCTACAAGCCGACTACAGTTATCTGTGCCGATTTCGACACCTGTCTTTTGTTTGTTTGTTTTTTCCTTAAAGGACGTTTTTTTCCGGCCCTCGTCTTTATATATAGGGCGACACCTTATCAGCGACTTTGCACGGCTCGTTCTGTCTTCTACTCGTCGGTATTTTGTGAGGTTTGTTTCCATGTCTTGTCGGCAAGAGCACGCTGACAGAGGATCTACACGGTCGCGGATGCTTAGACGTCGAGCTCTGGAGAGTCCGGGGGCCGTCGCGCCGACTCACGAGAACCAGAATGCCCCGAGTTTCACGCCCCTGGTGGTCTTCTCCGTTGCCCTGCTTCTTATCTCCGGGGCCGTCGCCACGGGGTTTCTCTTGTCTGCCGGGAAGTCACCGCAGCCCCACATTGTGTTCATTCTTGCGGATGATCTGGTAAGCGATATACTACATGTAACCTCCCCCCCTCCTCCCTTTTCCCCAAACAATTGTTCTCTTTTTAACCCGGAATGAAACTGCCCATTGACGAACGATCATTAACCGCCAAAAAAATAGTGCCAAAACTCCAAACCAGATGCCGAAATTTCAGACCCAGCCCTTATCTAAATCAAAAGTTACAAGTGATTCGTTGAAAACTTTTAGTAAGATAACAGGGCTGGTTTTTACCAGTTTTCACTTAATGGTTTCATTCAGCTTCATGCACTCTTTAAAAGAAAAATCTAGTAATATTTACTAGGTAAAAGCTAGTAATTGCTGGTCACATATGTTACTAAGTAAATAGCAACAGTAGGTCGTAACGGTCAAGCTAGTAACAGTTACTAGGTCAAGAAGCTAGTAACTGTTACTAGCCTCAAAGTAGAACATTGTGTATTTCACTACTTCTAACTAGTGCCTTGCACTACCTCAAGACAGAAGACCGAAACGGCAACAATTCTCGTGAAGTCCAGCAAAAAAAAAAAAAAAAAAAGTGTGCTACTTATACCATTTAGCACCAGATGGCAGGTGCAACAAAAATAAAAACTGGAAATTACTAATCCAGGCGGTGCTACTCACCGTTCACTTAAAAGTAAAACAAAAACAAAAACCGATTATATATAATTTATTTCGGCGCTTCCACATTTGCAACTAAATTCACATATTGCACACAAACATTTTCAGCACAAAAGAGACCGATTTCACCGGCCAGTTTGACTACGCCACCGCTGCCGCGATGCATCTAGGTAACTTTAGTCTCTGCACGCGTGCGGCAACCTTGCTGGAGCTTTGCGCGTGTAGAGCATGGAACGGCACGAGCTCTATCATGCACTGCCGTTTGCCTCCAGTGAACAAAAGTTATGCCGGCGTCACGCATGCGCCGAACGCTTGGTGAGATCGGTCTATTGATACAATGCATTCAATGCAGTTCAGATACAGATTCGAGGAACATACGTGACACGCTTACTCTTATCACTCTAATTTCTAACTCCCTTTACTGCCCACCAGTCTTCTATACTCCCCTTTGGGTACGCAAACTTCTCGTCGTGTAACACTACCTCAGTGAGTAATGTTGCAAATATAATGCTCTTTTCGCACCAATATTCTTCCTCAAGCAAGTTTTAAAAAGATCCAACGCTTCTATCACCTCGAAAATAACGAAGGTAAAAACGTACATTATTTGCGACGGTCGATAAAACAACCTCGCCCACCGGTTCTTAGCATCTATGTGTGCGCTTCCCCGCATAGCAGCCGCAAACCAGCTTTCTCGTCGCATGCGTTGATCGAGAATTAAAACGAATGCGGTTGTTGCCGGCGAGAGATTGCTTTGTTGTCGTCACCCGCGGCGAACAAAGGCTCTAATTGACGCTGGGTACGACGGCAGCTGGAGTTCTTTCGCGCGTTGCGCGACAGAAATGGATGCACAATCAATACCGGATGCAGCTTGCATCGTAATTTGTGAGTAGTCCACTGACAAATGCTTGTGTTTGTGGGTAAGATATAACTGTAGGGCTCGGAGTTTTCGGTTTAAACCGATAAAAACCGATAAAAGTACGCCAAATCCATTTTCGGAAATTCGGTGTTAACCGAAAAAGGTAATTTTGTAGGTTCGGCATTTTCGGTTTAAACCGACAAAAACCGATAAAAAAACGTCTAATTCCTTTTCTAACATTTGGTTTTAATCGGAAAGGGTCTGCTTTTTGGTCCGCGACGAGGTGGCTGGGGAAGGGGAAGAGAGAGAGGGCTTTACAAAGTTCGACATTATGTGACGCCTTCGTGATTGCCCTCTCCCATGTTCAACATGCAACAAAAGAGGGCTTGAATTTTCCTTCGCGGGACATCTGTGTCCTTTCCGTGATCGGGCTTAGTGTGTCAAGTTCCCGTCCTAAAAAAGAAAGTTCGGATGTGGGCTAGTATAAGGTTTTTCGCTTCATGCACTTCAGATGACATCGAGGAAAGCCCTTAATACCTTTCTTAACACCTCTTTTAAACTTCCCTGTGATTGTAAACAGAAACAATGAATTTTTTTTTTTTTTTGCCATTTCGCTGGTTTCTGTACCAGCGCCCCCGACGGTCGCGTCGTCACAATGGGAAGGAAAAAAAAGCGCGCTAAGATTATGCCCGCGAATTCCGCGATTTTGAGGTGTGTCCTGACGGAAGTTGTAGCGAAGACGACGTAGGTATATGTGTCGTTATTCTTTGAATGCCCACCTAAAGAAGCGCTAAAAATACAAGGACGAGGAAGTAAACAGACAAGAGCGCTTGAATGATCACAAATATCACAGCTACAAGGATTATCTTATCCGGTGTCCGAATGTGTTTCTTTCATATTCGCCGAAAAAAAAAACAACGGTGAACGTTTTTCGGAATAACTATACACGAACTCAACTCTCCTACGTCACGCCGCGGTGGTGGCGCGTCGGGCGCACTTCCGGTCTGGGGTGGTGGGCAGAAGTCGCCGTGCGAGACATGCATTCCTGTGTCTTTTGGAAGAAACGAGACAAAAAAATCTGCCTTCTCGTCAAAATGCTGCGACGGGGACTCTACCAAGGGAGTCTGGTAAGGTTTGAAGATCAGTTTTCATGTGTTTCTGCCCCCTCCGTTCGTCCGAGAACGTGGATAGTAGCCGTGAAAAGGGAAATCCAGACTTGTCGAACTACGATTGCTTGCGCGGGAAACACTTCGTTGTCGCCAGATATATTTGTTTTGTTCCAACATGAACGAGAGAAAACCGCCAAGTTGTCCGGACCACCCACGGGTTCAGTGCGTCTTCAAATTTGCACGGCCGCCTGATCGTTCGAACTTTCGTCTGCTCTTTCAAACTTGTCTGCTTTTTGTCGTCTGCTCGTTCAGACAAAAACGGCCCGTAAACCAAAGTTTGACCCAATGATTGCAATAGGAAGTAATTGCAGGCCTCAAACGACTTAAGTAGGCTCCGTGTAAAAAGTAGATACAAGATGTTGATCATTGGTACCAGTGGCAATCACCAACTTGTTACGCTTGGTCTGTTCCCGCTTCCGATTTTCAGTATCGACGTCGATCATCGCCGCTCAATCTACACTTTTGCAGCACGAGCGACGTCGCGACCGAAAATAGCTAGAAGAATCTCACCATGGTTTTGGCGTCCATTTTGCGGCATTCATGTGAATGAATCGCCGCACGTCAAATTTTTTACGCAAAGTTTAGCGCCGTAACGAGGCTTGATGATTTCCCTCAGGCGATTAAAGTGGTAACACATTGCTATGAGGACGTACAATCGACGATTCCAGCGCGAAAAAGAGTATGCAGACTCCCACAGACGCCGACAACGTGACCTTCCAATGGTTTGTTGACGCGGGACGCGGTGCTTCTTGCCCGCACTCAATTGCGTATGCGTTCGAACTGTCTTCTGCTCTTTCAAACTTGTCTGCTTTTTGTCGTGAGCTCGTTCAAATGACAGCGGCCCATAAACCAAACGTTGACCCGGTAATTGCGATAAGAACTAAGTGCAGGCCTCAAAACACTTTAGAAGGTATATATGCTCGGGTAAGTAGGCTACATGTAAACAGTAGATACAAGGAGATGTTGATCATTGTTACCAGTGGCCATCGCCGACTTCTAATGCCCGGTTCTACTTGCGGTTTTTAGTATTGACGTCCATCATCTCAGCTATGGTTCTCACATCTGGAGCTCGAGCGACGTCGCGACTGAAAATAGCGAGCAGAATCTCATCGTGGGAGTCAGGCTTTAGCGCCCATTCTGCGGCGTCCACGTGAAATGAATCGCCGCACGTCATATTATTCACTCGAAGTTTTGCCTCGTTAATTTTGCTGAAGCCGCTCAAGTAGTCAGACATTGTTAGGAGGACGTAGAATCAATAATTCCAACGCGAAAAAGAGCGCGGGGACTCCCGCCGACGCCGACGACAACACAATTCAATGGTTTGTTTATGGGCGACGGCGGACTTTTTGCCCACCGCCCACTGCGCATGCGCGGCGCCGGTGGCGTCCGCTAGGGGCACTCCGGTTTGTTTGTAAACACGAGTTGGTGTATACCCCGGAAAAAACCGAAAATTGAATTTTAAAATAAACACCGAAAAAAGTACGCCGAATTTTAAAAAAATAAAAACCGAAAACGCGGAACCCTAGATAAAAGCAAATTCAGAAAGAGTCGTAGAATGCTTAAACATCTTTTTCATTACTCCAAAAGCTAGATACACTATTTACGACGCATATCAACGGTCATCACAGTCCGCTGTCACGACCGAAGACAGCTAAATTAGAATCATTCAACGACCGTGCACACACAGACCGTGAAAAAGACGTTCTCAGTGTCAAGAAGAAGCGAAGCCTCTTGGTCGGCGAAACCCATGCCACAAAACCGACCGAACGATCGCCGTCGAGCAGCGGATCCGGTGACGAGCGACACCGGCTCGTTAAAACTGTCCTCGAAGCTGCCCATGTCCACGCAAAAACTCTCCCAGTCGAGCGCACGAACGTTAACACTGCACTCCAACACGGGTACTCGAGAACAGCACAAGACACACGGCGAAAACCGCATGGCCATTGAATCAGTGATGGCAGCCATCACTGATGCAATGGAAGCCAGCGCTGCCTCGCGGCAGCGCTGGCTTCCACGACGTGATGTAAAAGAGGCTGCGATCGTTATAAAGTCAGCTCCAATTACCTGAAACATGCCCTTCTACAATATTTGCTGCTACGATTGTGTGTGGATACCTCCAGCTACGTTCCGAAACAGTAAGTGCTTCGCTAACGGTAGCCATCGGCGATGCAGTAGACGCCGCCATCTTGTCCGCGCCTTTGGTGTAGTAAACCACGACCAACTCTATGCTTACGACCACTCCATCTGGAAACACTCCAGCACGCACCTTTCGGAAAGCCGAGTTTCAGCGGCGCCTCGTGGCAAGGCCTGGAACTCTGTATATTTTTTCGTATTTTTCGCGCTGCACCAGGTTGTTTTGG